TGCAAGCACATAAAAACTTATACCCAGAATAAAACTTTGTTGGTCTTAAAAGTGCCATCTGGACTCAAACTGTGTTAATGGCACAATTATATGCAATTGTTGCATTCATTCCCCAGCCATTTTTGTTGAGATTTTAGCTTGAAGTATTTGTTTATTTAGTACATTTCTATGCACCTCTTCAGAGAACCTGCTTGAGGTGGTTTACAAAATCAAATGTAATAAAAATATAACATTGTTCACTCAAATCCAACCAGAGTGTTAAAACATGATATATTAAGCCACACAGAATGAATTTTAAGCAGTTTTCAGACTACAGCTCAATCCCTTAATTAAAAACCTGTGTGAAAAGAAAGGTTTTGGCCTGGAGCCTTAGAAAAAGCACAATAGGCATCAGGCAAGTCTAAAGGGGAAATACATCCCACATGCAAGGTGGCACCATTGTCTCTGGTCACTATATGCCTCATCTTACAGAACAGGGCTTGCAAAAAAGATTTTAGCAGACAGTGTGGGACATAAGGGAGACGGTGGTCCTTCAAATACCCTGGCCCCAGACCATTTAGGGCCTTAAAAGTAAGAATCAGCACTTTGAATTCTGCTCCCAAACAAATGGGCAGCCAGTGCAGATATTTAGCACTGAAATGATATGATCCCTGCTTCAGACCTTTCCAGCATTTTGGACCAGCTGAAGTTTCTTTAGGCAACTCCACATAGAGTGCATGACAGTAATTTAACAAGAATGTAATTGGACCAGAGAGTACCAGAAAAACATCTACTTCTGCTTCATTGACTATGCTGAAGCCTTTGACTGTGTGCATCACAACAAACTATGGCAGGTCCTTAAAGAGATGGGAGTACCAGAACACCTCACATGTCTCTTGAGAAACCTGTATAAGGGTCAAGAAGCAACAGTTAGAACCGGATATGGAACAACTGATTGGTTTAGCATAGGAAAAGGAGTACGACAAGGGTGTATATTGTCACCTTGCTTATTTAATATATATGCAGAGTACATCATGCGAAATGCTGGCCTGGATGAATCACAAGCGGGAATTAAGATTGCTGGGGAAAATATCAACAACCTCAGATATGCAGACGATACCACTCTAATGGCAGAAAGTGAAGAGGACCTAAAGAGCCTCTTGCTCAGGGTAAAAGAGGAAAGCGCAAAACTGGGCTTGAAGCTCAACATCAAAAAAACTAACATCATGGCATCCGGCCCCATCACTCCTTGGCAAATAGAAGGGGACGTCGTGGAAGTAGTGACAGACTTCACGTTCCTGGAAGCCCAGATCACCACAGACTGTGACAGCAGCCATGAAATTAAAAGACGCCTGCTCCTTGGGAGGAAAGCGATGGCGAACCTAAACAGCATGATAAAAAGTAGAGACATCACCCTGCCAACAAAAGTCCACATGGCCAAAGCAATGGTATTCCCAGTAGTCATGTATGGCTGCAAGAGTTGGACTATAAGGAAGGCCGAGCGCCGAAGAATAGATTCTTTTGAACTATGGTGCTGGAGAAGACTCTTGAGAGTCCCTTGGACTGCAAAAAGATCAAATCAGTCAATCCTAAAAGAAATCAACCCATAGATGCAACAAACATGAAATTGAGCCAACTTCAGAGGATGGCGGAAGACCGGAAGGCCTGGCGTGATCTGGTCCATGGGGTCGCAAAGAGTCGGACTCGACTGTGCGACTGAACAACAACAGCAATGTCAAACTGGCAAGTAAGAAGTTATGTCAGGTGAAGGAATGAGCATCTTACTTCTCTATGTGATTGTACAATGCCAATGTGTATTTCAAACTAATGGTTGCATAACTAAGGCCCTTAAATATACTTTGTTCTTTGAATATCTACATTATTCTTAAACATGAGTTGTGGGGATAAAATCATCTGCTTTGAGAGACACGTTAAAGAGATTTTCAGGGGTAATTTAATGAAATTTGCGCATGTCAGTCTGAAAAATAATAGTTCCCAGGCTGAGCTTTGACTCTGTAATTACCCCAATGATAATTCTGTATCCTATTTGCTTATGTTATTATAATGGGACGTAATTTGCTTTCAAATGTTAACACCTATGAACCAGTTCACACACACATAAAGAATCCTGGGACAGTATAATTTTAATATACATGTGGGGTAAATCACATCTGAGTGTTATTCCTGTGTCAAAAAGTACTGCCCAGACAAAGCTAGAACATAAGAAAAAAGGATAAGCTAAAACTCTT